GGCTCCCTGCTCGGCAGGGAGTCTGCTTCTCCCTCTGACCCTCCCCGCTCTCATGCGCTCTCTCTCTCTCAAATAAATAAATAAAATCTTTAAAAAAAAAAAAGGCATAAAAAATGTCCTTACACACGCACTCGTCATCTGCACAGAGCTTCCTGGAAGCCAGTCTGTCCATAAATATTCCGTGCACGGCACATATGGCTAAAATACCTGGGAGGGAAAGTATTAATAGTCTGGCCATCTTCCTTTTTTTGCTGTTTTGCTGTCGTCCTTTAACTGGAAGTGGGAACTGACTGCAGTGGTTCCTGTCTTTATAGTGGGAGCCAGACATCTGGGTGAGTCCCCCCAGCCAATGGGAAGGTGCCCACCGTTCCTTCCTCTGCTTTCCTAACAGCTCCTGAGCTCCAGGGGCTAATTTGCATCTGGTTTTCCAAAGAGACTCAAACTCGATGTCTTTTTTTATATATATACACAAATGATATCCAAACGGTCCACCATTGGTAAAGCCACTTTAGCTGTGGTACACTGAACTAGTAGGGCATTGTGAAAAGAACTAGAATTTTAAATCATTTGAAACAATTTTTTGGCTCCATTTTCCTATTCTTTCCACTTAGGAGCAGAGATGTACTGACTACAGGAATCTGCTGAAAATGTAGATCTATATCCTTAGAACACATAATGTTCCTTGAAACAAATCCAATTAATAAACATGTGGATTTATAGAATAGATAAATCAAGGATGCTTAAGTTTACAAATCATCCATGATAAGATTTTCAGGAGTCGTGTCTGTCCTGAGGCAGACATAGTTTGTAACACATGAGCTGTTACCAGATCTAGACCGTTTCAATGCAGAAAGGGGGACATAGGTGAGTTGGAAAGAATGGAACAATCTTTTTTTCCTCTCTGGGACTTTTGAAATTCAGTCTCAAAATGCTCCTGGAGAAAGCTAGAGGTTCCTGTTACCGTCCTTCTCCCTGCTTCTGGGAGTCTTTCCCACGGAAAGAGGAGTACTGCTAGAAATCACCAAAGTTGAAGTGCCAATATGCAGCTCCATCTATTCAACAAATATTTACTGAGCACCTACTGTGTGCCAGGCACTGTTCCAGGCACGAGGGATACAGCAGTGAATAAAAAAAATTCCCTGGCCCCAAGGATTTACTTTCTATGAGGAGAGACAAGACAATAGGTTGCTGCTTTTTCTAGTGTTTGGGGCTGGTATCTCTTTCATAAAATTCACACCTCCGCCCCCCCCAACTGTTTCTAGAATAGAGGTCCCTGTCCGGATGCCCTGTCTGACTTGGCTGATGATGAGATTTCAGAGCAGAACCTCCTCCTCCCTCCCTCCAACAGGCAGTCACCTCACAAGATGAGGGACAAGCATTCAACTTAACAAAATAATTTTGTACAAAACTGGGGATAAACTGGCAAAGCAAAATATACTTATAGTATTATTTTTAAAAAAGGTTTTATTTGGGGGTGGAGTGTGTTATTTTCAGAGGACAATATTTTAAAGTGCTGGCCCAGATGTGGAAGCTTCTTTAATTCAATATCTCCATTATAGATAAAGAAACTACAGCCCCTACAGTCCAGCAAAGGCCAGAACCACCTTTTTTTTTGCAAGGTTTTTTAATTTATTCATTTGAGAGAGAGAGAGGCAGAGAGAGAGCACAAGAAGGGAGAGAGGCAGAGAGAGAGGGAGAAGCAGACTCCCCACGGAGCAAGGGAGCCCGATGTGGGACTCCATCCCAGGACCCTGAGATCTTGACCTGAGCCAAAGGCAGACGCCCAACCGACTGAGCCACCCAGCTGCCCCAGAACTGAGATTTTAAATTCCTCATTTCCTGTTTCACTTCAAGGAAAATATGAATTGGAAATCATCCGAAAGCAGGCTGCCAGTGCATTTTTCCTTCCTTATAATCTAGGGGCCTCTTGGGTCTCTGGGAAAACTAAAGCATTGATTAAATCTTAATCCTGATCAGGCAGCTCTTTTACAGACTGTGATGGTCTCAAGCCAGCCCTCAACACAGGAGAGCTAAAAGACAATTGCCACTTAAGAGGCACTTAACAGAAACAGGGATTGCAACACCGTCCAAGCCCCCCCTCCCCCTGGAGCAGAGTGAAATGTGGAATAAAGCCACAACCGAGCCATCACAACAACTTAGCAAGCTAAGGCCGGTGCTCACACCAAGCCATTATTGGCTATTGGAAGGTGGAGAAGTAAAGAAAAGAGATGTCAAGCCATCTGAGTGCGTCCCCGGGCAGGCCTGGGATGTCCTAGCATTCTGCAGTGGGCGGAGACAGGATGGAAACTAACATTTTGCTTGCAGATTGGAACTTAAACTTCTTATTACTCAGCGAGCAGTTGTCCCTGGAGGCAGGCTCCAGACCCTGTGGATACTGGGGGTCCGGAGAAGGGCTCTGTCCTGAGCAGGCTCACCTCCTTCATCTGGATTTTCAGGTGTATTCTCTGCGCCTTTAATCTCCAAATGACATTTTTCTGGTTTTGTTCCTAAATTAGTTCTCGATCTGCAGTTCTTAAAATGGAGGCCGTGGCTCCTTTAAGGTGTAAAAATAGGCTTGGGCAGTGGATGCGGTAGAAGCAGCCTCCTTGCTGTGACCTACAAGGCCCTGCATGATCTGGCCCCTCTGCCCCTCTGAAGTCACCTCCTGTCACTCTCTCCCTCACTCACTCTGCACCTGCCATACCAGCTGATCTGTCTTATGAAACTGTGAGGCTCATTTCTACTTCAGGCCCTCTGGGGCTGATTGCTGGGGAAGCTTTAGTTCTGTAGACTGGCCCTCAGGTCTCTGGACAAGATGTCTCCCCAGACAGACAGAAAACCGGTTTCACAAAGCCATTCTTGCACTCCTCCAACTCAATCCATCCATTGTGTGTTCGTGGTACACTGCCTCATCACTTATCACTACCCGACAGGCCTTCTTTATTTACGTGGTGGTGATTTGTCCCCAGACACCACAATGAAAGCTCCGGGAGGTGGGGACCTTGTCAATCTTGCCCTTTGCTCTATCGTTAGCACCCAGAAAAATGGGTATTTGGGGCGCCTGGGTGGCTCAGTCGTTAAGCGTCTGCCTTCTTGCTCAGGTCATGATCCTGGGGTCCTGGGATCGAGCCCCGCATTGGGCTCCCTGCTCCGCGGGAAGCCTGCTTCTCCCTCTCCCACTCCCCCTATTTCAGTTCCCTCTCTCGCTGTCTCTTTCTTTGGCAAATAAATAAAATCTTAAAAAAAAAAAAGAGGAAAAATGAGTATTCATTGAATGAATGCATGGCCTCCCTGAAGTTGTATGCTTAGGTGTATATATGCACATTTTTGTTTTAATTTTGTTTTTCCTGGGGAAAGCCCTTAGGTTTTATCAAGTTTCAAAAGAGGTTCATAACACCCCAAAATCAAGACTCACCGACTAAGTTATCAGGGCAAAGACTCCGGGGTTTTGCCATCAAAGCATGGTCCCCAGATCAGCACATTCAGCATCACTTTATAAAGTCTCTCAAACCCCACCCCTCAGGGCGCCCAGGTGGCTCAGTTGGTTAGGCGACTGCTTTCAGCTCAGGTCACGATCCTGGAGTCCCAGGATGGAGTCTGCATTGGGCTCCCTGCTCAGTAGGGAGTCTGCTTCTCCCTCTGACCCTCCCACCTCTCATGCTCTCTCTCTCTCTATTTTCTCTCTCTCAAATGGATAAATAAAATCTTAAGGGAAAAAAAAAAAAAACCCACCCCTCTCCTCCAGGCCTGCTAGATCAGTTTAATAAGCTACAAAAGTGATTTGGAAGAACATGAAATTTTGAGAAGTACTGCTCAAGGGCAAATCAATTACAGCACAAATTTTAAGCCAGGGCTTCACATTCTGCATTAGATCTTTACTGGATACAATATTTCCAAGGACAAAATGCTTGCTAAATACCCAAACAGAAAATACTTTACACCTTAAAGTTCAAAAGCTCAAAATGGAGATGTGATGCAATGCTTTCCTTTAAAAAAAAAAAAAAGATTATTTATTTGAGAGAGAGAGAGAAAGAGTGTGAGAAGGAGGGAGAGGGAGAGAAAATCTAAAACAGACTCTGTGCAGAGCACAGAGCTCGACATGGGGCTCGATCCCACAACCACAAGATAATGATCTGAGCCAAAACCAAGAGTCAGACACTTAACCAACTGAACCACCCAGGTGCCCCACAACACTTTGCATTTTTACACCATCTTCTTCTTATCAATATGCTGCCTTGGAAAAATACAATTTGAACTAAAGATCTAATCATTATAACCTATTTCAAAAGGTAGAAATCTGCTTTGTTAGTTCTTAACTCACATTGGAATCACTCAGGGAACTTAAATATATTGCTGATTGGGTTTCACGCCTAGAGATTGGGATTTAATTGATAATGGGGTGTAGGTTAGGCACGGGCATTTGGAAATGTTTCCCAGATGATTCGAGTCCGAAGCAGAAGTTAAACTTGAAGTTGAGAACCACCACATTAGATGAGTGAACATCTACTTCCTCCAAAACTGGCAACTCCCACAGAAGGGCCCAAGATCCCAGCATGATCAAATCATTTTCAAAAGGTAGTTAGCTCCTGCATGGAGCACTGGGTGTTATGCACAAACAATGAATCATGGAACACTTCATCTAGAACTAATGATGTAATGTATGGGGATTAACATAAGAATAATAAAAAAAAAAAGGTAGTTAGCTCCCTTTTTCTTCCCCCTCTTCCCTCTTGAAGCCTTGCTTCCCAGAGTTTGATTACATTCCAGGAGATTTAAGCAGTAAGTAAATGCATTGATCACTGGGAGCGGAGGAGTTACAAAGAAGGAAAGAAGGGCTGGGGTGCCTGGGTGGCTCAGTTGGTTAAGCGTCTGCCTTTGGCTCAGGTCGTGATCCCGGGGGCCTGGGATCGAGTCCCGCATTGGGCTCCTGCTCAGCGGGGAGACTGCTTCTCCCTCTCCCCGCTGCTTGTGCACACGGACTTGCTCTCTCTCTCTAAGATAAATAAAATCTTAAAAAACAAAAGGAAAGGGGGAAGCCCAGAATAAACTCAGGGTTGTCGGATTGCAATTAGAGATACTGCTGTAAATTCCTTTTTCATATAACTGTATAGATAACAGCCAAAAATACAGACATACGGTATCTCTGTATACCATTAAGAAAGGTAAGGACAGGCTGAGGAATGCACAGGACACTGAAGAGACAACCATATGTGGCATGATCCCAGATTGGAATTCTTG